ATACAGTCTGAGTGCCCCCGATAGGCGGCTGCACTCGCAGCCGCGTACCGCGTGACATACACGCCCACGCATGGGGCGCGTATGTTCCCCTAGATAGGCGCCCACACGTGTAGCGGCGTATCTCAACATCCCTCTGTGCACGTGCCAGCGCGAGTCGCCTTCGCCGACGGGCCGTTTCACGCGCTCACGCCCGCCTGTGTTGGCCAAGATAGGCGGCTGCACGTGTGGGCGCGAGTACCGCTATACGCGTCTGCACGTGTGGCCGCGTATCTTGGCTAAGATACGCGCCGGCATAGAATGACATGTATCAGCCCCGCGCCGAGCTCGATGCGCGGCAGCGGGTGAGGGCGGCTATTCTCCCCCGAGGCAGGCACGGATACACAGTCCCTCGTGTCGCGCGTGTAAGTCCCGGTTGCCGTGCGCGCCAGCGCGTGTGGCCGCGTACCTTAGCTAAGATACGCGCGCACGGGCGTGGGTGGGTAAAAACGGGTCACTTTGCGGGGTTTGCCTTCTTCACACACCACGGGTGCGGACAAACAGCGCTCCGACTGACACTCCGGCACTAAACACATACTAGAGTACAGGTACACAGTGCGCGCTCGAGCAACACGACCGACGGCCGAGGAGCGCTCCGAGGCCCGAGGTTCATACGGCGGCGGGGGAGGCGCGGAGGGCGAGGGGCATGAAGATCGCGTTGGCAGCTGGAGACTGCGCAAGGAGACGCTCGGGAACACATGCGCACTATCATCGCTCTAGCACTGGGGAGGGGGGGGCGCACAGACCGGCTTCCAATCCTCGAGCGCGGACCACGACCCGATCGTCTTGTCCCAGCCGAGCCCGCCCTTGCCCTTGTCCTCGGCCAGCCAGCTCAAGACCTCGTGCCAAGCCTTGCACACGGAGGAGTGGCCCGGCTTGTTTGCGGGGCCAAAGGGCAAAAGAATCGAACGGCAAAAGAATTCGGGAGGCAGCTCCCCGGCCCTGGATGTGAGGTTACTGACTGCACTCCAAGTGCTCCAAGTGCAGCGCCCGGGAGCACTGATATACATACATACAGCGATCCGACTGACGCTTCCGGCACTAAACATATACAGGTACACAGAAATTCCGCTGCGTACGAACACAATCAGGGCCATCCCTCCCTTGCGTGGCTTCTTGACAGATGACACTTCTATCACTATCTTCCTCATGCACAAGACCAGACCGGGCGGCTCGCAACGTGTGCGCGCTCGAGCAACACGACCGACGGCCGAGAAGCGCTCCGAGGCCCGACCTAGTGTTTTGTTCGTCGCACGCGCGTCCCGATCTGCGATCATCTCGTGACGTGCGGCATGGGTCGGACAATGTGCTGAGCACTCGAGGCACGCCGGCTCTCTCGCAGAGGCCAGAGCGGGCCCGCTCGAGGGCTTGCCGTGCCGACTAGATAGGAGAAACGCTTAAGCGGCCGGGCTCGCTCGAGCGCTTCTCGAACCGCTCGCGCTGCTCGGGAGAAATCTCCGCTCCGCAGGGCAGATATTCGGAAACATTGCACGGTTTCTGAAGCTCGTCCAGCTGGAGGGGGGTGATGCTCCAGGGATCGGCCCATTCGGCTGTGCTGTTGTTGTGGCGATACTCGGCGTACTTCGCAGCGGCATCTCCGCTGCCGGGACTGATGGTGTTCATCATCGTCAGGGTCATGTCGATGCCGGCGCTGACGCCGGAGCTGGTCCAGATTTCGAGCTCGGGGTTGGTTGGTGGCCCCGCCCTTTCGGCACGGACCCAGCGTTGGTCGTACTGCCAGTCGATCGCGGGCCTCGATGTGGGGGTCGCGTTCCAGCCACTCATCAGATTCTTGTTTGATGTCGCACTGAGACCGTTGAGAATTTCGGCCGCTGCCAAGATGGTCGCTCCGCTGCAGACGCTGATGATGCGTTTGGTTTCCGTCAACGCCGCTCGAGCTTTTACAAAGTTCACGAGGGGCTGCAGCTTCTTCCCGCGACACTTGCTGCAGTTCCCTTCTCCGCCCTTCCACCAAGCGCCGTTGCCGCCAGGAATCAGAATCGACTCCGTCACCGGGCAATCTTCAAGCGAATAGTCCGCGACAGTGATCGGGCTCCTGTCGAGCTTATCGTTCCTGTGGCGGACATGCGGGGATGTAGAACACGAGACGACATAGAAGTCTTTGGACCCGTTGTCATGCGTGGGCGCCAGCAGCATCTCCATAGGGCCTGCAGAGTGTGAGGGGAGGGTGCAGCGAACGGGGCGTAGGTAAGCGCAATCGGAGAGTCGGAGAGAGAGAGAGAGAGCGAAGGGTCTCACCGTAGATGTCGAGGACCTCAAAATCCGGGAAGAAAATCATGGCGATAGAGTTGGAGTACGTGTTGGTCGGGCGCGGGATGCCGACCGCATCCCACGGGGCCGGGTCGGGCGCGCATCCTTCTTGCGCGCCCCAGTGGGCAGCCAGGAGCTTGTATGACTGGTCGTCTTTACTCCCTCCTTCGCGGAAGGGGCACTCGATCCGACAGGCTCTGGCGGTTGTCGTACAGCGACCCGGCGTCAACCGATGCAAACAGGCTCCTGCGGTTGTCGTACACCGACGCAGAGAGCGACCCGGCCACGAGGGTCGCCAAAGCAAACCAGCGAATGTAGAGCGTCATCATGAACCTGCGACGACCACGGTGGTCTATAAGCACACGGGCGTCCATAAAAGTTGACAGGCGCGCTTGCATTGGATGTGCACAAACAGCTATGCGCAATGTGGAGGTGTACGGGGTCTGGAATGAGAGGGGAGGGGGCGGGGGACAAAGTAGCCTGCGGGGCGGGGGGGGTGGGGGGGGGATGTGCGCGGAGCGGGCTCACGAGGGCATGGACACGCGGTGGGGAGGTGCAATGTCTGGTGAGAGGAGAGGGAGAGGGGCCGCGATGGGTCGGGCGCTAGACGGGGAAGCGCTCTGGGGGAGGGATTTTGGGGGGGGGGGGGGGGGGGGGGGCGAGGCACCTCTCCGCTCGCGCGCCGAGTATATCGTTCTCTCTCATCGAGTCGACGCAAGCGAGCATTCCGAGGATGAACATATGCGAGTGGCGAAAGAGACTGCTCGACTCGCCGCATATGCTCATGCGATGCAGGCTGTGCTCGAGGCCGGCGAGGTAGCCGACGGCGGAGGCCGCCCAAGTACGCTTGCCAAAGGTCCCGCCGCCGACGAGTTTGCATCGCTCCGGGGCGTGTACTGGGGTCTGATTCTGGGCGGCGATGGGCTTGTGTGTCAGTTGGCGGTGCTGCGTCTGTTGGGGACCAGCTTGGGATGGCTGGCTGGCGGCCTCGAGTTAACGGACGGACACCTGCGAGGGCAGGCAGGGTGCGATTCCCACGCAGCCCCGGATGCCGGCGGCGGCGCGAGGGCCGCACCTTGATTGATGGCCACCTCGAGCAAACCCTGGAAGAGGCCTCGCGCAAACCTGGAAGCGGCTCTCGGAACCCTGCTGGGGGGCCATGACGAGTGCTGTTTTCGATGGGCCGGATTTCGCTTGACTTGGTCGGTTTGAGAACTTTAGTGCGGGAGGGTCGGCGAGCACTCACTCACTAGGGCGGCGCCGCAGGGCCGGCCGGGCGCCCAGGGAGTTTGGCTCCCAGATTGCTCGGCTTCCAGGGTGTGAGCCAAGTCCGTGCGTGGCTTCCTAAGTCGGGTTGGGGCAGCGAGCGGCCTGACACGTCTCAAGGCTCCAGGTCTCTCGACTCTGGAGAGAGAGAGAGATTTTTAGCAATACAATACCAAACAACTCTATCTCTAACACTCACACATCATTTGGGGCCTGCGTTGCGTTTTTTCTCAACCCACGTGCCTCTGCACATCCGTTCACGTGCACGGAGCTTCTTGAGCCACCCACCCACCCACCCACCTCACGGCCCGGCTGGGGCTTGGAGCCACCCACCCACCCCACCGACCTCACGGCCCGGCTGAGGCTTGGCACCGGCCGCCCACCCCCACCCACCTCACGCACGGCCCACCCGGCTGATGAGTGAGGCGAGGAAACCCACCCACACCGACCGACCCATCCCCACCACCCAACCAACCCTCCGGCCACGGGAGACACAAGCAAGGTAGCAAAGCACCCAGCCTCGCGCGCGCGCCTCGGCTAGGGTTAGGGTTAGGGTTAGGGTTAGGGTTAGGGTTAGGGTTAGGGTTAGGGTCAGAGAGTTCAAGCCGTTGTGCAGCTCCTAAGAACGGGCCGCTTCGGGTCGGAATGGAGGAACCAGGCAGCGGTCCGTTGACGCGAGCTCTCGGTGAATGCTCCGAGTTCTTCGGGTTAGGGTTAGGGTTAGGGTTAGGGTTAGGGTTGTTAGGGTTAGGGTTAGGGTTACAGGGTTAGGGGTAGCTTGTTGTCGTCGCGCCGATAAGACAGAGACACGGGCAGCAGTGAGCAGACGCGACCCAATCGACGCACCAGAGCATGGTTGGGCGTGTGAGCCGCCATCTTGGACCGTGTGGTGCGTGAGGCGAGTATTTGCAACCGGGAGCTCGCCGCCGCCCCTATGCCGCCGCCGCCGCCCTCCCGAGGCCAGATAATAGCCCAAGTCGAAGAGTGCGCCCCGCCCTCGGTATCTGGGTGGCAGGCGGTGGACTAGAGAGGCACGCCAGAGCACGGCCGGGGGCGCGAGCCGCCATCTTGGACTGTGAGGCGAGTATTTGCCACCGGGAGCTCGCCGCCGCCTCTACGCCGCCGCCGCCGCCCTCCCGAGGCCAGATAATAGCCCAAGTCGAAGAGTGCGCCCCCCGCCCTCGGTATCTGGGTGGCAGGCGGTGGACTAGACAGGCACGCCAGAGCACGGCCGGGGGCGCGAGCCGCCATCTTGGACCGTGAGGCGAGTATTTGCAACCGGGAGCTCGCCGCCGCCTCTACGCCGCCGCCGCCGCCCTCCCGAGGCCAGATAATAGCCCAAGTCGAAGAGTGCGCCCAGCTCTCGGTATCTGGGTGGCAGGCGGGACTAGAGAGGCATGCTGGTGCACGGCTGGGGGCGCGAGCCGCCTCCCGCCATCTTGGACTTTTCTTCGAGAGTCCGTGTGTTGGCTGTTGTTTGTTTGTTTTCTTTCAACGTAAAATCTCTAAAAAAAGCTCAGGACGACCTAACCCACGGTCGAGCAAGGGCAGAGCGGCGCGGCAGCGGCCGGCCGCTCGTGCGCTGCTCAGCAATCCCCGCAGCGCCCAACGCCACCCTGGCCTCCTTGGCCCACGCCACCGCCTGGCGCAGCGCTGGCCCGATGCACCGGCAGCGGCCCTGCCCTTTCGCACACGGCGACGTGCCATTTCGTGACACGACCTCCTGCTCGTAGCAGTTCATCGCGTTGTAGAGACAGCCCACGTCGCGCCTTTGGTCTCTGCCGCACTGCGCCTCGGCGAGCCCGCTCCTCTCGCCTGGCGGCCGCAGGCTGCAGAGCTGCAGCCTGCGCAGGCGAATGGAGGCCGCAACCGAGGCGAAGGGGCCGAGCCAGGCGGCCGCCCACGGCGTCACCTCGACGAAGACGGCGGCGGGCGAGAGTTGCGGGATGTGGACCAGGTGGGCGCCGTGCGGTGAGATGAGCACATCCGCCTCGCCGAACCTGCGCGCCTGGGGGGCGGGACTAGGCGCGCCGTCAGCGCGTTGGCGCGGGAGGCGAGGGGCGGAACGGGCGTCTCGTGCCTGATCGCAGAGCGAGTCCGGCCGATCCGGCAGGTAGACCACCTCGAGGGGAGCGTCAGCCACGCCCGCCGAGAGCAGAGCGACGGGAAGCTGCGACCGCAGGGCGGCGACGGTTGCGTTGGAGAGGCGGCGTCCTCCCGCGTGCGGACCGGGCAGCCGGCACTGGTTCTTTGACCCTCCTCCGCTGCGAGGCCGGTCGAGGACGCGCACGCGGAGCGGTGCGGAAGGAGGCCGCGAAGCGATGCCGCACTTGCTCCAGACGAGGCGGCGCAGCGCGCCCGCTTGATGCACGTCCATCCCTCGCGTTGACGGCCGGAAGGACTTGGTCGTGAGGCAGCCTCGCGGGCCGTCGGCTGGTCCAAAGTGAAGCCGCGTGCTCGGAAAGGCGAGTGCGAGCAGCTCGCGGGTGAGGGGCAGCGCATCAAACTGCCACCAGATTGATTCCGGCGCCGATCCGGCAGCCATGCTCGCTGCGAGCAAAGGATACGTCAGCTCAAGCGTTTGGTGCCCAACATTGATGACGAAGCGCTGGTTGGACGTCGCACGCGGGAGACACCGCCCGCCGCCGTACGGGCATGGCACCGTCCAGCACTGGCCAGGCAGGTATGGCAGGCGCTCAAGGTACGGGTGTGGCCGCCCCATCGAGCAGCACGAGGCCGCGCCGCGCTGCCACGCCACGCGGGAAACGGCGTGGCCCACCCCTTTTCTGAGCCTGGCTGTCAGGCTGTCGGCCAAACCGGAAAGTGGGTCAAAAGTGCCAGCAGCATCCTCGTTGAGCCAGAACGTCGGCTCGCGAGGTGGGTGCTAGTATGAGCCCGCTGAGGCGTAGTGCTCTTGCAGAGGCGGTTAGTGGTGCACTAACCCCGAGAAACCCTTCGGGTCACTCCTCATCGCAAACCCTGTCAGCAGTCCTCCTCCGGGAATGTACGTAAGAGCCACATACATTGAAAATGACCACCGACACGTGTAGGCGCGTATCTTAGCTAAGGCTCGCGCCCTGACGTGTAAGTGCTCATGTGCACCGAGCCCATATACGCACCTGCATGTGTGGACGCGAGTATTAACTAAGATGAGCGCCCACGCATGAGGATGCGCGTCTGCGTCCAGGTAGCCCAGATACCGTCTTCGTGTCTGGGCGCTTATCTTGAGTAAGGCTCGCGCCTACACGTGTAGCTGCGTATCTTGAGATGAGCGCCCACGCTTGTGGCGCCTATCTTAGCTAGTACTCGCGGTGTCGGCGTGGGTGCGTGGCGGTCAGCATACGCACATGCAGACGCGAATATTAGTCAATATGAGCGCTCACACGTGGAGGCGCGTATGTTGACATACGCACCTGCGCATATGGCGCTCAAAAGTGAATAGTTTTCGGTGATACGCGCTCAAGTCGCCTGTGTCATCTGTCCCTGGCTTGCTGGGCGCTGCTTTATGGCGGATCTCCTTGATGCCGCGGAGGATGATGCCGGCGCCGAGGTGCCCGCGGCGGCCGGGTAGCGAAGCGTTCAGACCACATGGCGGTCAGCAACATCGAGTGGAAAGACGTGGCGACGGTCGTCGAGCCAGCCGTGGCCAAGTGTCTCAACCCCGGCCTGCGCGAGAGGAGGACTTGACGGAGAAGGCCGCACCTTCTTTGTCGTCCGCAAGCGCCCCGAGGGGGCCGCCGTGAAGTATTGGCGCTCATCTCAAGATACGCAGCTACACGTGTAGGCGCGAGCCTTACTCAAGATAAGCGCCCAGACACGAAGACGGTATCTGGGCTACCTGGACGCAGACGCGCATCCTCATGCGTGGGCGCTCATCTTAGTTAATACTCGCGTCCACACATGCAGGTGCGTATATGGGCTCGGTGCACATGAGCACTTACACGTCAGGGCGCGAGCCTTAGCTAAGATACGCGCCTACACGTGTGGGTGGTCATTTTTGACCCACTTTCCGGGGTTTGCCCAGGCTGTCCAGGTGCCCTCGAGTGATTCTCGAGGTTCTCGAGGTTGTAAAATTCTCGAGGTGGATACTCGAGTATCCTTTGGTGTCCAGTCCGAGCCTGGCTGTTCTTCACCTTACTACCTACCTACCTATCCTTTGGCCGTATTGGGTAGGAAGCGAGGATTGGTGTGACGCGATCCACGCAGGCGTGGTTTCTGGCGGCCGACCGTCAAGTGTTTGCGTTGAGTGGGGTGGGGTGCGCCCCAAGCCCACAGGCCCACGCCCTATCTGTCGGTCTGTCGGGCACAGCTGTCAGGCACTGTCAGGTGCCTCTGTCAGACCAGCTGTCAGGTGCTGTCAGTGCTGTCAGGTGCTGTCGGGTGCATGTCTGAGGCGAGGTGATCTGAGCTGTCGGGTGCTGTCGGACGGAGCTGTCGGGTGTTGCTGTCAGACGCTGTCGGAGCTGTCAGTAGTCAGAGCTGTCAGGTTGCTGCTGCTGTCACAGACGTTGGGCTGTTGCTGTCAGGTGCTGAGTGTCAGGTGGTGCTGTCGGGGTGCTGTCAGGCTCTGACACACATCAGCCACAGTTATGACACCATCAAGAGGGCGCTGACTATCAAGGGGGCGCTGACGCCGATGACGCCGGCGGCTACGCAGCTGCCTCCGCCTCCTACGGCGTGATCACGCCGGCGGCGGCGGCCGCCTGGGGAGCGCAGATGGCGGCGCAGGCGCAGGCGGCGGCGGCGGCACAGACGGCGGCGGCCACCCCCACCCAGACGCCGTAGGCATATGACTGTAGGGCCCCAGAAGGCTAGCTGGTAGCTTCATTTGTAGTAGCACAGCCGCCGGTGCTAGAGAGAGGTCCGCAGAGGTGGGGCGGGAGGGTTGAGAGAGAGGCCCATGACCATCCCATGACTACATGGACCACACTCACATGTCTTTGCATGAATGATGTAATTTTGTTATACCCTCATGGGGCACAAGAAAGAGGCTCTACGGGGTCTGTGTACGGTCTGTGCTGCTGTCGGGCTGTCAGTGCTGCTGTCAGGCCACTGTGTGCTGTCGGGCTGTCAGGCAGCTGTCAGGCTGTCACGTTAGGGCCTGACAGCGACGGGTCGCCTCGCCTGTCAGTCTAGGGTACCATACTTCCGGGCCGGTGTGCGGGGAGCGAACCTTAACGACCGCCCAGAAGCTTTCTGAGCGACCCAATCGGGCCAGGATCATCAGAATATGTCCCCTCCACAGCATCGTGGGCGTTTGAGCGGTATTTGAGGAGCACCGCCACTCTGAAGTTCGGCCGGGTGGTCTGCAGACCCCCCCCCCGGAGCAGCAGAGGCTCCGTGGGGTCGCAGAGTCGACGCTGGGAGTCGCACTCGTCAAACCGTCGCATGACCACGCAGTCCGCACGTACCGCCCACATCCCCTCCACCGCTCAGAAGGCGCAGATCGACCGCCGGGCCGCGTAGTCGTCGTTAAGGAGCGGTTTTTGGAGCCGTACGAAGAGGTCCCAGACGGGCGAACATGCGGTTTTTCGATGACCACGCGCGATGTGGTATCTGGTTTTTGCTAAAAACGGGCCGCCTAGTGCAGCATCACTAGTACAACACGCAACCACACTGAGAGCTCCACACTAGCCGGTATAGGCGAGCCCCGGCGGCCTCACCGTCGCCGCTCGCGGCGGAGCCGACGGCGGAGCCACGGGCCGGTGCGACCTTTTGGGGGCCCATGAGCTCGCCAGGACGTCACCGATGGCTCGGCGCGCCTCTTCCCGCTAGCGCGGGACGGCCTGCCTACAGGAGGGAGGGGGGGGAGACGGAACTGAGCCCTAGGTTCGTGCAAAAGCGCCGGCAAGGGCTGGGAGAGGGGCGGCAAGCGACGGGCGGGTGAGCGACCTTTTGAGCGGTCATGAGCCGGCAGGGAGGCCGGCGATGGCTCGGCCAGCTCCTTCCCGGCGGGTTCGTCGGGCCGTGCCTGGTCGGCGGGGCTCGGGTGAGGTGAGCGGGCCCGGGAGTCGCATCTGCGCGTCCCCGGCAGTGGCAGTGTGTAGATGGGAAGTGCGGAGATGGGAGGCAACGCGCCTGTTTGATGGCCGCACGAGGCAAAGTTGGGCGCTCCGAGCGTCTTCTCGCCGAGAACGAGCGGGCTGTGCATCGTGGGGGGGTGACTGAGAGGGAGGTGGTCGTACGCTCACTTTGTCGGCCGCGCGCGAGGTGAATACTGGGTGTGAGGCGCGCAGGAGGCGAGGTTGGGCGCGCCGGCGGTCGAGCCACCGAAGAATTCGACGTGGCGCAGCTCCGTGCCGGCGGGGACGACCAAGCACATGATGTCGGCGGCGATCGCGCGACGAGCGAGAGCCGCAGGGGCCCTCTGAGAGCCAGGCGCCGAAAAGCAGCGTGGGCGGCGGCCGCGATCAGCCACCTGTGGGCGGCTTCCGGGGTCGCGGTCAAGCTCGCGACGGGGTAAATCTGGTGCTTCTAGTATCACTGGTGGGCTGGGTGTGCAGCAGCATCGCTCAAAAAGAGGCAAAAAACTCGGCAACTGTTTGGAGTGTCTACTTTCTCGACACACCGTTCTCGGCCCGGCCGGAAAGCTGGCTGGTGGTCGCGCGCGGCGCGTCAGCGCCACTCCGACTGGTCGGGCACCTCGGCTGGGTCCATCGGCAAGAGGCCCGCGCCGTCGGGCGGCCCCGGGAGCGCATGATGCCCCTCCGAGAGGCGCTGACGCCCCGCCGAGATCGCGCTGGTTTGGCACGAAAAGACGATGCGCCAGGGGGGGGGGGTCAAGTATGGTACCCTAGATCAGGCTCTGCTGTCAGGCTGTCAGATACGTGCTGTCAGACTGTCAGAGAAAGTGCTGTCAGCGCTGTCAGGCTGTCGGGCACTGTCAGGCGCTGTGTTTGCTGTCAGGCTGTCAGACCAGAGGGCTCAGACCCCTTTGGGCCGCGAGAGTACCATGAGTGAGTATTCTTGATACAAAACCACGACGACAGCAGTCGACTCGCATCGGTTGCCTCCATGAACGGCGGAGCTATTCTCGCGTCCACACCACACCTGGCTCCAACGTGGACACGCCCATAGCTGGGGACACTACTAGGTCACGCATGGCATCAGAAGTTTTATCTCTGGGCCCCGAAAGGCATCTCTAGCAGCGTCGTTACGCATGCTCCCTCCCCTCCTGGGCGCAAGCGCCTCACGTCTCGACAGAGCGTAAGCTCCGTTGGACTTGCGTTGGTGTGCGACGAGACGCGAGTTTTTCGCCATCGCATCGACCGCAGCAAACCACTCGCCGCAACAGCCGGAGGCATCGCCGCAACGCTGGCTGCGCCGCGGTCCCGCACCCGTCGACGAAGCTCCCCCCGCGGAAGACCGCGCGTAGCGACGCCTTGTCGATCGAGATAGATGAGCGCGCTTGAAGCTCTCGCCCCCCCACACTCGCACACTGGTCACTGCGCAGCTGCGTGCACACACCTACTGCGCGGTACTGGTACTGCCCCTGAGAGTTGGTTTTACGAGTGGGATCAGCACACACTCACACACAATACTCACCATACCATACTACCCCGGAAAAAGTTGGAACGACCTGGGCTGTCGTCCAGCATTAAAAAAATGCAGGCAAATATTATATTCGACAGAAATGGGGACCGCCAGAGTTGGGCCGCTGCTCGCCCCTCGCTCTCGCTTTATACAGCGACGCCTTTCGGGAGGAAGCAGGGGAGCGGCCGCCCCCCAGCCGGGTTTGCCACCAACAATAGACCACAGCCTCACGCCGCCCAGGCGCCGTCTCTTAGGCGCAGCACGGAGGCGACTTCTTCGCAAAGACGCGGCGGAGGCGGTTCAGAATGCGGCGGGCCCTGGAGCTGCACTGCCGACACTCTGCCTCCGGAGGGGATTCGCCTATGAATATGCGAGGCAAGGCTCAAGAAGGAACCTTCGAGAGGCCGGCGCGCGACCTCTGCGCGCGCCGCCGCCCGCACACTCCTCCCCTTGCCCTCCAGCAGCCGCCTCGGCCTCCTCCGCAGCGCCCTCCTCCGCAGCGTCCTGGACATTCACCTCCTCCTCCGCGTCGGCGTCCGCCGCCGGAGCGCCGTCGTCGGCGAGGCGCGCCGCCTCCTGCGCCTCCGCCATCGACGCATCCGAGCAGCAAAGCCCGCCGCTCTCGGGCTTCGCGCACATTTTGTTCTGCATGAGCTCCTCGCAGATTCTTGATCCGTGCTCCGGAGTGTCGCCCTCGGGGCCCTTCTGACACTGCTCGGCGGTCAAGCAGGACACCTCGGCTTGGCCGGCAAGCGGGAACGTGAGCAGGAGCAGCCGGTAGAGTGGGCTCATGTTCAGAGCGCCACAGAGCGCCACTGGCAAGCCTGAAAAAGAATTTAAGGGTAACTGCACGCCCCCTTTCGACTTTGAGCAAGTGGTACCACTTTGTCGCCGCAGCCTCCTGAGCACCCCCACGCCGGTTGGGGCTGCTCTCCGCCCACCAGCCGGCCACAGGCCGCCACCCTGGCCGGCCGGCGTCGAGAGAACGGCCAGACTCGACCGACCGGGTGTCGCGCCGCTGCCTGCTTCTCGCGCAGCTGTAGCAGCGCCAGCGGCTCGGCCGCGCATCCTTCACACACGCCGCCACGACCAAGCTGAGCGGGCCCAGTGTCGAGGTCTGGTGCGAGCTGCATGTGAGCGGCTTTGGCCACAGCAGGTCCACCAGACGGATCTCAAAGCTTGCCGTCGGCGTGCTGTCGTGGCGAGAGCCGAGACCGCTGCAGAGGAGCCGAGTGCAGTGACGATCCAGAGGCTACCAGGGCCACCAAGTGGTAGCCCTTGCCCATTCTGATCAGGGCTGTGCTTTGGTGGGGTTGTGTTTGAGCATGTGTGAAGTGGGAGTGCGTGCCGGCGGTGTCTGTGGGTGAAACGGGCGTGAGTGAGGCCGTAAGAGCCGTGGTATGAGCCAGAGTGGGCTTCATCACCCAAAATAAGGACGGTTTGGGACAGCTCAGACTTGGTACTGATGAGCCTGGGCCAGGAGGGCGACAGAGAAGGCGAGGTGGTGAGCTGGGAAGCCGCTTCATCGGCACCTGGACGTGTCGCGATGAACTGCCGAAAAGTACTATTTGCGGCTATTGCTCAAAAGATCGGGAGACAAGGCCTACATATTATGACTGAATCCTTGCGCCTGGTGCATGAGGGCTGCGGGTCGGGACATTTCACGGTCGGTGGCGCCGGTGTTGGCCTCCGGAAAGCCCTCGCAATCGCCTCGGATGGGGTCCACCGGAGACAATCTCGAGCCCTCTCCGTGGCATCACGAGCCGGTGTGAGCTTGCAGACCCAAGGTAAGTGCGGTTCGGGACAGCTCGGGCCTGCTACTGATGGGCCTGGGCCAGGAGGGCGACAGAGAAGGCGAGATGGTGAGCTGAGACGCTGGAGAGTCCGCGTGTGACCGTGTCGTGATGCGACTCCCCCGAATCAGTATTTAGCGCACTCCGCGACTCACGCGAGTTTCAATGTCGCCCCCCTGGCTGAGGCAGTTACTCACCACATCTGCACCCTATCGGAAGGAATTCCTCCCAGCGACGTTCAAGCACTCCCGCTCCGCACTAGACACGGAGGAGAGATTTCCATTCTGGGCGGC